GTCTGCAACAAATTTCATGTACATGATATAATCTGTTTGGTATGCGTTTCATGTTCGTGGTTTTTACAAATTTTAAATGCTGAAAAATGTTGTATTCCATAGTGTAAGAACAATACTTTTATATAAACGCAAACAAAACCTTTTTTTAATGTTAACCACTCTTTTAGCAAGCTACATGCTTAAATAGGTGTAGTTACAACATTGTTAGTAAATTTATGACCATGGCAAAACATACGAGATTACGAGTATACCAAAAAGCTTAGCATTCTTTATTTTAAACTAGAGATTAAAAAATAATCTACTGCAAGGAAAATCATTTGGATTATTGGGCATTGTGATCACTAAAATCAATAGAAAAACTTCTTTGACCTTGGAGCTAACAACTGGCTCGCAACATTTTGATTAATTGTGTAGCCTTCACTTGTGTGTTGATGATGGAGTAGTAGCAATGCGCTCGCAGTTGTTCTTGAGAAGAGGAGGGAAGAAAGGGTTCAACGGAAACATACGAGGCCAACAGTTTGTGTCTATTGCTAAAAATATTTTACAACATGCGGCTTCAATGTTTGCAAATTGACCAGAAAAGATCGAATTGTAGATTTCTTGCACACATCCTTGGACGTCAAAGAGAGATGACGAACATTTTACGATGTCAATAGGAGAACCCGGTGGGAAAAGTTCAGGGATATGAGGGAGTATTTGAGCTAACCCTGGCCTCACTTGAAGAACAATGGCCATAGCTAAGATCACAAAGAGAATAGCTCCTGATTTGTTTTCCATCTCAGCCAGGCTGTTTTTTTTTCTTTTCCTCTTTTTATGTTTTTGCAATGATGCTAAAAAAATAGTTAGATGCTTGGATGATTTTGTCAAAATGGACGAAACTTAGATTTTATAGGCTCATAAGATTAAAAACGGTGGCATTTAGTTTTAAAAACGTTAGCATCTAATGAAGGGGTCAATATTCAAGTTTTCCTTTGAAATGTAACTCTTGTCGAAGATTGTGTTTTTTTGTTTGGTGTTGTGAGTCATTCAAATAAATCAATGTTGATCGAATGGACCAAAGTTTGTGATGACATATTACAATGATATTATGTTACATTTTATTACTCATTGTCCAGTGAGATCATACTCCTACAAATGTTACAATGAAACATCGAAACGATGCAAGACATCAAAGGTGTGTCCATTATTCACCTAAGTTCTGAGAAGAAAAACAAACAGAATCCACCAAAGTTTAATCAAACCAAACACATTTCTCTGCAACTAAAAACCGCAACGGCTTTTTATTGAGTCCCATGTCTGTCCTCTTGCAGCTGCAAAACATCAATCAAAATCCAATGAGCAAAATATATTTGCAAACGAAAACATATTTTGTTCGGTTATCAAAAAAGGTTTAAACCTTTAAGCCATTCCACGCTTGCGTTTAGCCTTTTCCCATTGATCAAGTAAACAAGTGACACCTTCTTCAAGTGTAGCCCTCTTATCTTCTTTTAAGTTCCATAGCTCTGTTGTAATATAACTTCCACTCGGGTTATACTCGTTTATCTCCAACAAAGCTTTTGCGACCGCATTGTAAGGACCGTCTCCCAAATCTGCCTTTAGCTCCCTCAGCTTTTCGTCTCTATCATCTATCACTTCCTACACCCAATTAACAACAACACCAAAAACAACTTCTAATCTTTCAGAGAGATTCTCAACATAACAAACCGGGTCAAGAAGGCAGTCTTACCACTTCTCTATCCTGATTTTCGAGCTTGATCCGCTTGTATGGATGCCAATCTGGATCTCTGAGATAGCCTTCCCAAAGTTGGAGAACTTCAACTGCTCTGTCCTCCACATCTTGCTGACAATACTTCTGCTGCATTGCATCCACGAACGGTTGCGTCACGAGCTCTCCCATTCTCTTAACACCGATAGTTGTTTTCCATTCTTTCATAATCTATAAAGTCACATGAAACAAGCAAAACCAAGATTTAGGTAAAATGTCAAGCTTTCTCATAGCTTTTCGATATGATTGAAAAGAACAACACTTTGATACATACGTTTACCAATTCTTTACGAGCTTCTTGAAGCTCATCGTTAGTCCTGCGCTCTCTAAGGATAAGAGTTTGGTTAAATTTATCGAGGTCTTCGAGTTCTCCTTCCTTCTCACCTAAATCTTTAAAGATGATTTCCACCTTTTTCACAATTTCAGCATCGCCGTCTGATGCCATGTGCTTCATCACATTAAGCTGTCCTTTCAACTGCTCAACCTCTAGCTCAATCGCTTGTTTCTGATCTCTTTGTCTTTCTAGTCTTATGATTTTCTCATGAAGCTCCTCCTTTTGCCTCTGTCAAGTACACATCAACACATGGTCTTTCTCAATAATCATAAAAATAAATAAGTCCAACCATTTTTACAAAGAAGAAGAAAGTCACTAACCCTTTGGTCTTCCGCAAGTTTTTTAACTTCCTCGTCTGCCTTTTGTTGTTCCATGGCTGCTAGTTCAAGAGAACTATTCTTAGATGCGTTCTGATAAGAGAAAAACCAATTATTTCTTGAACTTTTATCTTAAAAAGAGAGATACAGAGAGTAAATGGATACCTGTTCAAGATCTTCAGACAATTTCATTCTCTCGGTTCCATTGTGCACTTCGCGCTTTGCCAACTCATTACCTTTGATTTCGAGTTTCTTCTTCTCTGACTCCAACAGCCTCTTCAATTTCTCATGATCATCAACTATCTTTTGAATGTGACTCATTGTTCTCTCTTGTATAGCATTGAGCTCTCGGTAATGCGTTTGTTCATTCTTCTCCTTCTCTTCCATCAACTGATTAAGTTCCTTTGACTTCACTGAACAAAGCTCCTCAATCTGCTTCATGTCTTTCTTCTTTTCTTCTACAAGTTGTGTCAGATTCTGCACTAGCTTTTGCTGTTTCCTCGCCTCTTCTTCCGTAAGCTCAGCTATAGTTTTGAGATCACCTGTCTTCCTCAGGTTTTCTCCAATAATATTATTACCGTTATAATCATCAGCACGAGCAATCCACGCGTAAAGACCTAACTTGGGACCATCTTTTTTCAACCAATCCTTCTTTCCATGACCGTCTACTCGATAAGCCTTGTCAAACAAAAGACCATTGTGAAGTCCATTCCAATCTTTGTTAAACTCCACAATAGCTGTTCCTGAATGTCCCCAGTAGTTCCATAAAGGACGAACTCTAGTCGGGTTAAATCCTCTTAGAATGTACTCATCCCTTAGCTTCGATCCACTCTCACCCGCAGATCGACCATCTTGTGCCTTTGTAGTTGGTATATTAACCACAATACCTGTTTCAACCACATATACACAACCAATAAACTCACATTGCAATGAAAGTAAGAACCTTTAGATACATATTCAAGAAAGTGTGTACCTTTCCAAGGATAGACAAGCTTCTCGTCCTGATCACAATCTTGAATAGGGTTTCCGTTTTTCTGACGCTTCGATGAAGGCTCTGCTTCCACAGCTGAATCAGCAAGATCCTGTTGAAGGTATTTGACAAGAGCAAGGTGACTTGCTTTCTCCTTTGCACTTCTTTTATCTGAATTGCTATTACCAACTCCAGAAGCATGTTGAAGGAGATCTTTGTATTGAAAACTAGGTTTCTTCTTGTTTGGACAATAAGGACAGACAAAAGCTTGAGGAGAGAGTCTCACTTTCAGCTTCCCACCTTTAAGATTTAAGTACATTTTGTCTCCATACTCATCCATTTCAGATTCACTAATATCTGAATCTTCATCATCTGAGCTCAAAATCACAGTGCTCCCCATCTTGTTCCTTGCTTATAAGGTACAATCAAAAGTGAAAATTCTTTATCAAAACTCTGATCTTTCTTTTGAATTTCAACAATGCAACACAAATCCATTACTTTTATAAACTAAATTTGATTCCTTTATACCTCAACTGGGTTTTTGCATCATTAAGTGAATTGCATGTTTGAGTTTTAGAGAGATTTCGAAAATGGGCTTGTAATCAAAGAGTTTTTCAGAGGCTTGAGTTAGAAGTGAGTTCGAAATCAGAAGAGATCGATCGTAAAACCTAAATCTATGATTTGTCTTAAAGAATGCAGAACAAAAAAAAAACAGAGTAGTTGGGGAAACTTACAGGAAGAGGCTGGAGATGGGTGCTCACTGTTCAGTGTCCGGAAGAAGAAGAAGAAGCTCTCTCTCCTCTCTCCTCTCTCCTCTCTCGTCACTTGTTTTGTTTTGGGTCGTCCTTTATTTCACCTAGGGTTGAAGAAAAATACATTTGTCCTTTTTCATTTTTATTTTTAAACCACACAATTAAAAAAAAAAAAAAAAAGTCAATAAAAGTGAAGATGAGAGAGAACACATCGAATATTACGTCTTTGTTCTATCCATATCAACCTTTTCTTTTTATTTTAAAAATTTAATGGATGAAACTTTACTTTAGAACATGCACATAGTATTTTACCATGTATCCCAATTTTGTATTTATTCCTTGGTTATATTTTATGAATTATTCAGACGAAAAAAAAAAAAAACATGCACATAGTTGGTACTCATAAAATATCATTAACAATTTTTTAGTATTAATTTTAATATTTATTTATTGTTTGAGATTTTTTATGATACATGAATAAATCTATTTCCAGTAGTAAGACCAGTATCGGTATCATTGGTAAAAAAAAAATATATACAAAATCAAAAATAAATATATATTAACGTAGGATTACAAAAGGTAATATTACAATCCATAAAAACGTAGAATATACTTAAGCAAAAAAAAACGTAGAATATACTTAAGCAAAAAAAAACGTAAACACTAGATGTTGTTTTGTTCTATGTAAACACCGTAAAAAAAAACGTAAACACTAGGTAATATTACAAGAGGACATGTCTATGTTTGGACAACAAAGAAGCATATCTAACCAATTTCAATTAGCATGAGGTGTTGTGTTGTTTTGTTCTGTCGTATAGAAGAAATGGAAGCAAGTTTTGTTTCTTATTGTAGCTCTTGTAGCTTAAACGCAAATCATTGTGATCTATATTAATTCAAAAGGTGATTCAACAACCAAAAGCAAAATCCGAGAATTGCATCAACTACTGTATTAGTTCCAAAAGCATAATAACTCACAGAAAGGTACATCCTTCTTCATCTACCACCTATGTTTCCCTTCTAATCATCTCAATGAAATCCATCAGCTGGTTTCTGTACATTGCCCTTATGTTCTTTTTCTGGTTTTGATTCTTCTTTTGGGGAGAGTTTAGTAGATTGATCTTCTTGGGTTTTGGTCGGAGCTTTCTCTGAAGGTTTATTGGTTTCCAAAACAATCTCCTTTATTGTCTCTTCGATTTTTCCCAATCTCTGTTTCATTTCCATTAGCTCTTCGTGAGACTTGGTTGCTCCTTCTACTTCTAATGCCTTTTGTTCAGCTTCTTCTTTCTCTTTCTTTTCTTCTTCTTTCCTTTTCTTCTCTCCAAGTTCCTGAGAATTAGTCCAATATGACGAGGCATATGCTAACATTAGCCAGAAATTCTGGCCCAGAATTAAGACAGAGGAAAAGCATTAAAACATGATGACTTAAACATCATCAGAAACTCATCAGTTTGATAATGAACAAAAAGGATAACTCACTGCATCCATGATCTTCATTTTCCAGCGAGCATATTGAAAAACCAGATACACAGTTGTTACAAGAAACAATGGTCATTTATAAACAAGAAATATTGAGATCTTTGACAAAAAAACATTGAACAAAACAATTAAGAGAGAAAGTTAACGGGAAGTAAATAGCAATACCTACAGATGGCAAACAGACGATAATGAATTGCACCACATGCCAATCAAAGCTAACACAAATCAAAATCCATATGAGGACTTACTACAACACAAACCAGCACAAGAACTCAACTTACTATAAGAGCTAGTTTCAGAAAGTGAAAGAGATAATTGTAGGAGAACTTGAAAACCAGTTCAGTGATCTCCCCACTTGTTTCAACCTAAAGAAGCTCACATGCCACGATTCTACAATTCTGAGGCTCTGTAACACTACTCTTTCCTAAAATTAACTTCAAAATCTATAAGGTAAGTGGAAAAAATAGGGTCTTTCCATGATTTATGGCTTATAGAAGCATGAATCAAACCCATTATTCTGATAAACTAAACAAAAGACAAGATCAACGAAGAGTATGTGCAGAAATTGAAAACCCATAAAAAGAATTCGAGAGTAAAACCCTCTTAAAACCCCCAAATTTCCAGCACAAATTACCCAAATTTATTCTTCTTGGGTGGTTCAGTGAACAAGATCTTCGCAGCGGTCACAAAATCGAGCTGAGACCGGGGACTTGCTTGTCTTCCAGTTCAAGCTCGCGGTGGAGAAGAAGAAGAATTGGCGGAGGAGCGATGGGATCGAAGAAGAATCGGCGGAGGAGGAGGAGAGATGGGATCGAAGAATTTTTTTTTTTTTTTCTCTGCTTTCACTGAACCAACTGTGTGCTGCCACGTCACCCGATACGAGTATCAAAGGTATCAGTGGACTGATACGGATCAGCCCCAAATATATGGTTTGATCTATTAAAAAAATAAGTTTTGGGCTACTGATACCCAATATAAATCACTTATGTGCATGGTCTTAAGTGGTGTAAAAAAAAAAACAAAAAAAAAACTTTACTGAAGTAAATTAATTGTAGTGTGGCATAAATTTATTTTCTTGAAATAGTCAGTTTATTGTCTTGATTCTTACGTTCTTGGAATTTGTAGAAACATTGTTTATGCCATACACTGCAATTTACAATGAGCTAACCAAAACAGCTTTTTTTTCAAAACAGTTTTTAGGGTGACATGTTTTTGTGTGTTCGCGTCGCGTGGTGTCGACGCTCTTTAGTCATTCACATAACGGGACACGGACTGACTCACTTGCAAGTTACATCGTACGTACGCAGTGAAACATCTTTACAGGTCTACTTCTGTTTACTTTCAACGTTCAATCACATCACATGCGAATCTAAGATGCAACCGCGTCGGGTCGGGTCGGGTCGTTATGAGACAGAGTGTTAGACTCACTTCTTCCAGGTGGATCACATATTGGCCCATTAAGAACGTAATTTTAAAAGCCCATTTTTCGTACATACCCTTTGAAGTTTGAACGCTGACAGAAGAAGGTTAGCAAGTTTTGTGTCTCGTTCAAATGTTTGTTACCTTAAATTGTATTCTTGGTCAACATATTTTACTAAATGCGATAATTAATGAAAGATAAGAACGCTAATTTAACAGTCAAGCAAAATCAAAGGCCAATCAAAAGAATCTCGACATTCGTTTCACAACGAACCGAACCAGACCAAACGAAATTGAACATTTCGTAACCAAATCCATAAGAACTCGAGATGCAGAAATGAGTAACAGAACATGTTAGTACTCAATTCCAATTTGAATTCGAATACCAATAAACCAAACTAAGGCTAAAACCGAATTCTAAACAACCTCATGCAATGCACGTTAGTGTCATTTGACAAGGAACGGCGCCTAACTGCCTAGTGCCTACCATCACATTCATAATCAACGCTATAACCAGATTAAACCGGAAGCCAAACCGAGAATCAAACAAAGCAGATTTTGAAATTAACTTAATGCATATTCAGATTCACATATTCCACAACGTTTTGACAAGACAAATAGAAGAAAGAAAATCCAAACCAAACCATAAACTAGAAAATCGGGGGAAGTTACGAATCCGGTACGGTACAATTAACCGGTATAGATATGGAGACGAATGGCGATGGTGAAGATGGTGATAAGACCGAAGAAAATGATGGTGTGGACGAGAATCGACGCTCCACTAGTCTGCATATTACCAAATTCAACAACACGACCTCTCGCCGGAATCTGAAAGAGAAGTCCCGGAGTCAAAAGCACGAACAAGATCACAGCGACCACAACAGGTCCCCAATCCGCCATACTTTGCCACTAGACAGAGAAATGACAGAGAAGTTAGAGAGAAAATGGTTTGAGAGTTTTTTTTTTTTTTTTTTGTTTGGTTTTGTGATTTTGAATAAACCGAAACTTCCTCGTGCGGTGTGAGAAAAAGAAACGGCCGGTGGCGATGTCACGTGCGGATACGTTGTTTTCGAAGGACGTGACACGTGAGTCCGTGACTAATGTTACAAACTTACAGTTAACGACTTGCTGGTATAATAGAAATTGGGCTGATTTAAGATCCAGTTCAGTTTTATCTCTGGCCCAATGTCGATACGGTGTCGTCTGTTTGCTACTGTACTAGTTAGCTTCATGGCTTCTTCTCTTCTTTTGTTTCTCGACATTTGTTCTATAATTTTGATATAGACTTAAGTAAACATGTCACTTATATTAATTAACATACGAATGAAATTATTTTTATAAAAATTATCACGAGTATAGGTGTGATACACACACAATTCACTATGTTCTTTTTGTTTAAAAAAAGTTTAGCTCCGAAGATGTGAACGCTGATCAAAATGCAAATCATATATTTAGCAAAAAAATTATAATGTACCTTCAATTCAAAACCTTTGTAATTCAGTACTATGGGTGAGAGAGATTAAATATATTTTTAGAATGGGTTAGAAGGCAAACTTAAAAAGCTTATGTTCAATTGACCATTATATACTATGAATGTGTTCACACTTTCACACGACCAAATCTAGTTGGTTGCATGAGGTTATCAGTTCACTTACTCACGAGCTCAGTGGTGAACTTGTGGTGGGCGATTCTTTCCAGTCCCTTGTTTTTATCTTTTTTTTTTTTTTTGGCTTCACTCTTTTTCTTGATATCATTTTTCCTTTTTTTTTGTAATAAGATCATGATTAAGAGCGAAGAAATAAAATTGTTCCTCAAAATCTTCTAATGTCACATCTCACGTATAACTTTTGTTGATTTCGTTTTTACGTAATTATTTAATTTACAAAATATATGGTAAATTAAAAGCACTAAACTTGAGGGAGAAAAACTAAAAATACTAAACATTTTGTTTGGAGAATGAAAAAGCACTAAGCATTGGTTCTTCCTTTAACTCCCAAATTCCAATTATTTTTTCCTAATGGAAGATAAGTGGGCACATTAGACAAAAGTAACTACCATGATGATGATTTTTTTTTGGTAAAACATATTTAAAGTATATTAATACTCTTTTTCAATACTCTTGGTACAGAGAATTTATACAATACTCCTTATGAAAAAATCAGATATAAAGTTCTAAACATTTTTATAGATTGTGGATCCAATTTTTGTTTTTAAAGTTATGATATACATTTGTCAAGATCTCTTACAACTAGTAAACTATTTAGAACTCTAGGAATCCACTTGTAACACTAACATCTACAAGAAAACAACATCAACCCTGTGGTCATCTACGTGGTTTTCTCAAGACCAACTCTTCACGACTTCACGTGCATATATATTTCCAAGTTTTAAAATTTAGCTACAGATCAGCCCAAATTTCGGAATTTCATTGACCGAGTAAATCTCTGCGTTTTTAGTTACTTTTTCTCAGTGAGAACAGAATCTTCTTTTACATATCGAGCCCACCTAAATCAAAGCAGTAGTAGTGGAAACAAATAAAGCAGTAAATAGACACCATAGCTTTTTGTTCTTGCTCTGTACACTTCACATTTACCCAAAATCTTTATAATTTTTTTTTTTTTTTTCACTTTTCTCTTTTTGTTTTCTGGTTACAAAGAGACAATTATCTCTTCATTGCCTTTATGTTCTTCTTTCAAGAAAGAAACCAATCTAATGCAAAACAAAACCATAGAACAAATCCTACACCAAAACCTTAAACCTGATTTTTCTCAAGAACCCGTTCATGAAACCATCATCAGCTTCAAGATTTTATTTATCTTTCTCACACTTTCTCATACTCTTTTGTCTACTCACACAAACCCATGTAGCTCAAGGATCCCATCAATGGCAATCACCAATCAAAACCGTCGTCGTTTTAGTATTGGAGAATCGATCTTTCGATCATCTCTTAGGATGGATGAAGAACTCAGTAAACCCGACAATAAACGGTGTAACGGGTCAAGAATGTAACCCGGTTCCGAATTCTACACAAACCATATGTTTCACTAGTGATGCTGAGTTTGTGGATCCGGATCCGGGTCATTCGTTTGAAGCTGTTGAGCAACAAGTATTCGGGTCCGGGTCGGGTCAGATCCCGTCGATGATGGGTTTTGTTGAGCAAGCGCTTTCCATGCCGGGAAATTTGTCGGAGACTGTAATGAAAGGCTTTAGGCCTGAAGCTATTCCGGTTTATGCTGAGCTGGTCAAAGAATTCGCTGTGTTCGACCGGTGGTTTTCTTCGATTCCTGGTCCGACTCAACCGAACCGGTTATTTGTTTATTCGGCTACTTCACATGGTTCAACAAGCCATGTCAAGAAACAACTCGCTCAAGGGTACATCATCAACTTCTTTCTTTTTATTTTCTTTTCAATTAGTCCTTGTTAGTTCAAATTTCACATTTGATTGAATTTTTATATTATTTCCATAGCAGATATTGAGTAACTGAAATAGCAATAATAGTTTTCCCAATTTTGAGAAATTTGAAAAAACAAATCCCTTAAATTACATTAATAACCTATGTTTTTTTTCCTTATATAATATTGTAAAGCATTTAATAGTAACTGGTCTATTTTTTAAATTAGTAGTATGGGTTTCTCTTTTAATTTTTTGCTCATATTAATAAGAATTCAAACACTAGTGTTTTGGTCTATAATTAAAATATTAGTTAATTTTTGCTTAGTCATCTTTACAAATTTACAACTACAAAATAATGATTATATAGAGTAATAAAAATATTAAAAAGTACACGTAATTTGCATAGAACGAATTATATATGTATCATCATTTGATTTCAGGTATCCACAGAAAACTATCTTCGATTCGCTCCACAGCAACGACATTGACTTCGGAATATACTTTCAGAATATTCCGACCACATTATTCTACCGTAATCTCCGACAGCTAAAATACATTTTCAATTTGCATCAATACGATCTAAAATTCAAGAAAGACGCAGCAAAAGGAAAGTTACCGAGCTTAACCGTCATCGAACCGAGGTATTTCGACCTCAAGGGCTTACCGGCCAACGATGATCACCCTTCGCATGACGTGGCTAACGGTCAAAAGCTGGTTAAAGAAGTGTACGAGGCACTTAGGGCGAGTCCACAGTGGAACGAGACGCTCCTAGTCATAACTTATGATGAACATGGTGGGTTCTATGATCATGTCAAGACTCCTTATGTCGGTATACCAAATCCGGATGGAAATACTGGACCGGCTCCTGGTTTCTTTAAATTCGACCGGTTAGGTGTTCGGGTTCCTACCATTATGGTTTCTCCTTGGATTAAAAAAGGAACCGGTTAGTTCTCCTTGGATTAATGTTTTCTCTATGATAATCTTACAAATTTGTTCTTACCGTGCATTGCTTTTTAGTAGAAATTTTTTTCTCAAGCTTTTTAACAAAAAAAAAACTCCGGTTTTGAACTTGATTTATTGACTTATAACATTTTTGAAACTGTTGCCAAAAAAAAGAAAATTTTATAACTTATATGTAGTATTTTATGCCTATTTCAACATACTGTTCATATCTCTGACCAAAAAAAGAAAGTCGTTTGTATTTCATGTGTTTCCACTTTCTACTACTATTTCCGACAGAGTTTTGACATTTGTTACCAAAATTTAAGGCTGCAAAAACTAAATCACATGGATGGGATTTGACAACTATAAGATTGTATCCATTAATTATGGTGGATAAAATAATTGAATCTAATCCATATTCCATCAATCCATTGAAAGATGTATATTATAATTTGTCGGCGTCGTCGAGTGACTCTTGTTTTTCAACCATCCTCTGACCCCATTTGATTAATTTATCTTTGTTATATAGTTTAATGACATCTTATTTTATTATGTGTTTTGAGTGAAGTGGTGAGTGAAGCAAAAGGACCAACAGAGAGCTCAGAGTACGAACATTCATCAATACCAGCAACCATCAAGAAACTATTCAATCTCTCTTCCAATTTCTTAACACATAGAGATGCTTGGGCTGCTACTTTCGAAGACGTTGTTTCTCACTTAACCACTCCTCGAACCGATTGTCCCATGACTCTACCTGAAGTTGCACCCATGAGAGCCACTGAGCCTAAAGAGGACGCAGCTCTTTCTGAGTTTCAGGGTGAAGTAGTTCAGCTTGCAGCGGTTCTCAATGGTGATCACTTCCTCAGTAGCTTCCCGGACGAAGTTGGGAAGAAGATGACTGTGAAACAAGCTCATGAATATGTCAAAGGAGCTACGTCTCGGTTCATTAGAGCTAGTAAAGAGGCAATGAAGCTTGGTGCCGATAAATCTGCCATTGTCGATATGCGATCTTCGCTCACTACACGGCCACGCAACCTGTGACCGATGGAAAAAATGATTAAAAATCTTGTTTGCATTCTTATTCCTCTGTTTTGATATGAAAATGTGTGATTTTAATGTTTGGAAACTGGAATTGAGGAACAAAGAAATACACAAAATTCATTGTTAGTCCCAATTTTTAACTAAAGCCCAATTAGGCCCATTATAAAAATTACAAGGCCCAATATGAGTTAGGCGTCAATTTCTTTAGTTCATTTGTTTATTCTAGTGGCAGTGGAGTGAAGAAGAAACAATGTCGCCAATTTCTAAAATTCTCGGAGGATGCAGGACACTGATGGCGAAGGCGGTAACAAATGCGACGGCTACCGGCGCCGGCTTTGATCCAAGAGGAGAAATACATAAGATTTTTCCAGTCTCAGAGTCGCTGGCTAGATTCGTCGGCCAAAGCGAAATCTCTTTTTCCACCGCCATGGAGAAAGTGGAGCAGTATACCGATGATCACGATCTCTGGGTTAGGGATTTCTAAACTCATCTCGATTTTTCTTTTGTTCTACTGTTTTTGGTGATTTCTAGGTCTATTGGTTAGCTTTTGATCTGATTCTTGTGTTGGAGCAATGTATCTGATTTCTAGGTCTTTAATTTGTAGAATCCGGAGAATATAGAGGAGATACTGTGCGATGATAACTTGAAGACGATATTCGATGGCAAAGAAAAAGTCGTCGGAGTCAGAGAGATGACGGAGCTCTTGTTGCGACATTTTCCTAACGTCAGGAATATGTCGGCGAAGGTGAAGGCTACCGGTGGAGGTACTATAGAAAAATGGGGGTTCAATGACATTGTGGAAGTCTCAGAGCCGCTGGCTAGATTCGTCGGGAGAAGCGAAATCTCTTTTGTCGCCGCCTTGAGAAAATTGCTAGAGTATACCAAAGATCACGACCTCTTAGATGAGGGTGTTACTCTGCTCGAGTTTCCCTGGGTTTGCTTTTTACTTTCCTTAAGATCCTCTTTACATGTTTATGCGCTTTGGGATTGGATTCTATAGAGACTGTAGAATGGTAGTAATTTGATTGTTGTGTGTGTTGGTCATTATTATAGGGATGAAACAATGAATTGGGCTAAGTATCTAATTCTAAGATGGAAATGTTGTCTACTCGCTTGAATGTTTTGGTTTTGTTTGTGGAATTGGTCTTTTCTGATTGCATATAGAGTGTCTTTAGGTGGCTTTGAACCATGTGCTTGCTTCTCTGTTTCATGGTCATGGATTGCCATTTTCATGTTTAGAGATTATGAGTTGTTTAGACCTCACTTGTTTTGTTTGTAGATTACGAAGTGTAGTAAATGGCGGATACGATGCGATGATAACTTGAAGACGATATTCAATGGCAAAGACAAAGTCGGAAACAAAGAGCTCTCTTCACTCTTGATGCAACATTTTCCTGACAGACGACTCGTTTGGTGAGGTGTATCTCCTAGTAAACCAATCCAAGAAATGAGTTTGTTTTCTTTTGGTTCATTTCAAATGCGAATGAAAAAAACTCTAGACCGATTGAACTTTGGTATGTGTTAAAAAAACAAAAGCTAACTCTTTGATCCATCTGCTATAGAATATTATGGTTTAGCTTTTGGAAATAGTTTATTTTTTTACACTTAAACAATTCACATAGTAATAAAAGAGATAGCAACGTGCATTTTATTTAATAATTAATTTTGAGACATGAGAAAATTAAGGGAAAATCAGCTACATCGCTGTCCACCTTATCCACTTGTACCCCAATCCCTTTGGCAAAAACTTGTCACAACCCTTTTGATCCAAAACCGACCAATGGACACCAACAACAACCAGCAACCACCTCCCTCCGCCGCCGGAATCCCTCCTCCTCCACCTGGAACCACCATCTCCGCCGCCGGAGGAGGAGCTTCTTACCACCACCTTCTCCAACAACAACAACAACAGCTCCAACTATTCTGGACCTACCAACGCCAAGAGATCGAACAAGTTAACGATTTCAAAAACCATCAGCTTCCACTAGCTCGGATCAAGAAGATCATGAAAGCCGATGAAGATGTTCGTATGATCTCCGCCGAAGCACCGATTCTCTTCGCCAAAGCTTGTGAGCTTTTCATTCTCGAGCTCACGATCAGATCTTGGCTTCACGCTGAGGAGAATAAACGCCGTACGCTTCAGAAAAACGATATCGCTGCTGCTATTACTAGGACTGATATCTTCGATTTCCTTGTTGATATTGTTCCTAGAGATGAGATTAAGGATGAGGCCGCTGTGCTCGGCGGTGGGATGGTGGTGGCTCCCACCGCTAGCGGCGTGCCTTACTATTATCCGCCGATGGGACAACCAGCTGGTCCTGGAGGGATGATGATTGGGAGACCAGCTATGGATCCGAGTGGTGTTTATGTGCAGCCTCCGTCTCAGGCGTGGCAGAGTGTTTGGCAGACTTCGCCGGGGACTGGAGATGATGTCTCTTACGGCAGTGGTGGAAGCACCGGTCTCGACGGCCAAGGGTAAGTTTCATTTTATGTGCAATGTAGATACATTGATTGATTACATGACCATCTAGGGTTTTAGGATTTGGAATGATGAACAATCTAAGTCTGATTTGATTGGGATATAATCATGTCACCATTTGCAATCTTTAGTCCAAGATTCATGTCACCATTTGCAATCTTTAGTCCAAGATTTGAACAATGGTTTCATAGCCACTTTCATTTCGCAATCTGCAAACATTCCTATATCAAACACCTTTTCTCTTGCTCTTCTGCTGAATCTGAATGGATCAATGAACTATGACTCATTAAAAACTTACCTTTCAATGTTTTTGTATCATTTTTGCAGTTAAACTCAAGAGTATTCCAGATGATGCTTGAAGACAGCAGATATTAGTCGACTTTGCCTTGAATTTTGGATGTGTCTAATAGATTATGCCTGAATTCAATTTAAAAGGCTTAAAAAGAGTAAAAAAAACTCTTATTTCTCTCTGTTAACTTATATGCTATTGCAGCAAACCATCATTGCTGTGACTTTGCCTAACTATATAATCTAATGTGCAGTTTCTAGTTGTATGCTTCTTTTTCGATTTTTTCTCGTATTTTAATCCTCCTCTTTCACTTCTTAGGATGAACATATCTGAGAAAATGCAGTCTTGTAACTTGTAAGGTTCTTTTCAGAGGTTTCAGTGCTTGGAAACCTCAAGCTAACCTAGTCTGAACCAACTTGGTTTTGTGTAGTGTATCTGTATATGAACTCGTGACATAGCAATGTAGCTAGCAGGGATGACAATATTGTTGTTATTTTAGTTGATGATTAGTATTTGATAGAAAAATCTTATTACAAAGCATCTTACAGTAGCGGAAGTTATTTTTATCAATATTTTTGCTTTGTAAGGCTTAACCCTGTGACAGGTATTGATCTTTCTCTAACTGTAACTTCCGCATTCTTGAGGAACCTTTGGATACCGCTGTCTGTCCGAACAATAGTCATAATCCAGGTACATCTTCTTTGCGTTTATATACAGTTCCTTCTCTTTAGAGCTTAGCTGTTTGCGATTCCACCAGAATTTAGGATCAGTGCATTTATCAATTCCCATGAACTCAGTTTGACACCCTTCAATCTTTGATGCCTGGAACTTAGCAATGTAAGGCATCTGCTTCGGGTTAATTATCGATCTGTTTTGCACACTTCCCATTAGGAACATTGTCTGCACTGATGGGTAGTAAACATCTGGATTCTTCCTGTAAACCCTGATCGGTGTATCGTCGACATAAAACCTGACAATGTGGAAATACCTTTTCTTTTGTTACTGATGTTAATCAATGGATGATCTGATTAAAGTGTTATATGATGATACTCACACAAGTTGATTTGGGTTCCAAAGAAAACTGTAGGAATGGTAATCTTTGGTTGGATCAAACCAGAGACGAAACCTCTGATCTTTGCCTCCTTCACCGTACAGATACATATTCGTATTCAGCAAGTATGGTGGCCCATTCCTTCCCAAAATCTGGAAACAGAGCTCATCATGGCGGCTTGAACGGGAGATTAACTGTCATATAGCAGAAAAACATATTTCAAGAAGCTATTCAGGTACCTAATCTCATCATCTTTATTTCAAACAAACATAAGTTTAATGTCATTTTCGTACGTAGAAAGAAGTAATGACTCCCGTAGACGTAGTTTGAGGTGCCTTGATTCTTACGTTGAAGTATCCTGATCCGTAAATCAATTGGGATTCAAACCCTGACCCTGTAAGGAACATGGACCAATCACAATCAGCGACTAGACACAAACACATATAGACAGAGGAAAGAGGAAAGAGAGAGAGAGAGTTAGAAACCAGAGTTATTATCGAGTGTGAGCTGGAGCTCAGAGGTTTTATTAATAACCAAAGCTTGATTTCCCCATGTCTGGTAGTAATTGTTGGCCCATGTCACGAATCCAGTAGTCTCTTGACCTCGAGCCGCGGCTATAACCGCTACAACCACCAGAACCATCAGTAGAATCTTCTCATCATATCCTCTCATCTTGATCTCTCTCTATCTCTCTTTGCTTCCTTCTCACTTTAATTAATCACATTAGAACACGACTCTCTTGGGCTATGTTATATAGGCTTAGAGCAGCCACGTACGTTACGTTGCTTTTTTTTCACCAAATAGTCTATATTCACTGCATCATCCTAAAATTCAATTAATTAAAAATGTTTTGAGTTTAATCCATCTAAATTTTGAGCTGTTTGTTTTTTAGTGTGGTGAAAGCTGTTTCCAACTCGTTAAATACGCATCAAGCATTGCATCTCAAAAAGCTTACTATTTTCACGATTTCAATCCTTTGGTTTGTTAGCCTATAAAGTTTTCCATACAAAGTAAACTCTAAAAAGTAAAAAAATTTTGAATAAATCATTAGGTTTTAATGTTCTAAAATTTTATTCTGCTAATCATTGATAATGTTTTTGAATTCCTAGTTATTATTCCCTCTGTCCTATTTTATTAGATTTTTTGGCTAAAATTATATGCTTTTTCTGTTATAAAATTTTAATCAATAGAAAAAAAATATTGCACAATTTAAATTGTCATAAACTATTAAATTAATATAATTTATGCATAGATACTAAAAAAATCCAATAAATTATAATAAAAAAAGTTTAAAACATCTTATATATTGGAAAAGATGCTTACTCCTATTTAAACTGTTTTCACTAATCAAATTAATACTAGTACTATCCTATTTCATTTCATCCACACTGCCATATTTTTTTTTTTCAGTATAAAAATTAGTTAGTGCATTTTCTTTTTCCTTCGTTCTAATCCGTTTATCACGAGAATTCCGTGTTTGTTTCTTGCAGTAGTCTCAGGGAAAAAATGACTTATAGTGTGAAAGCCGTTATCTGGACAAGTGTTATATACTTGTACTTTACCTGACCATACCACTACCGGTCTTACTCCCGACATTATGGCCGATATTATTTAATCTTATTTCACTGTCAATTTCAGTTAAGTAACAAGTCTTGTCGCTTTGTGGTTAGTGATAAAATGATAAAACATTCTTTAAGTTTAGATGATTAGAAGTAGAGGTTTGTCGAAAAGGATGGTGTCTAATTGGCTATTGATTGGATTGACTCATTAATCAAGTTTAGCAAAAACGTGCAGCCAACTCTCTAAGCTTTTATAGTTGGATCCATTGTGGTAAATGTGGAAAGAGATAGAGAATGCCAAAAAGTTGCCACCAAGGTGACAGCTCATTTCACAACATGTCAATACGACATTTACGTGTCTAAGTTATGTATTTCCACTTTCATTAACTATATAATCACGTATAAATGAAAATCGTTTTCAGGATAATATTTTGAATGGTTTGAAATCTCATATTATAGTAGATAATGCCAAAAATATAGATTAATAAGTTTTTCTTTCATTTACTCCATAATCAATTTTTGTCAACATGTGAAACTTCACCGCATTAGATCCATTATTCGACATAAGAAAATTTTAGGTAGGATAGTAATTATTTATTGTTATGGTAAAAAAGGGAAACCAGAAAAACAATCTACTTTACGTATATTTCATGTTCATATGTTGTAGTTACCTCGTGATAACCGACGGCTATAGACGCCGTAACATGAAGACAGATCAAAACATGTGTTTCACTAGAAAATCCTCACAAGAAAATTGTTGAGATTTGTAAACCTCTTTTGAAAAAAAAAGAAAAAGTGTTAGAATCCCAAGATTCTATCATAATTCGGAATCTTGGCTGAAAATGTATAAAAAAGAGACTGATGTTAATGTAGTAACAAGGACTCTTGTCTTCGTTCTCAAATTTTAGAGTTGTTGCAGTTTTCAAGAGTTTTACTTTGATGAGTGAGACATTTGTTTTTTAGGGTTTATTTTCTAAAATTACATAGCATCAACATCATTAAATTATATAACGTTTTCTTATAATCTCTTAAAGATGTTTTAGAAAAATTTATATTGGTAATAAGGGAACGATGTTTTAGATGAAAAATAATCGGTACTAATAAGACATATACAAAGACCAATACGAAACCAAACCGGACCTTTGTGTTCAGACCGAATCAATCTGCATTGGAGAATTATGGCTGAGGGGAAGTCAACGGAACAAAAGTATAAAAACTAAAATGTCAAATAAAAGAGACCCAATTTTCCATCTTAAACGACGAAGCTCCTGAAACCCTAATTTCAAATACCAATTCCGATCTAAGAAGTCATGGAAGCCATTGATTCCGCAATCGATCCTCTCAGAGATTTCGCTAAGAGCAGTGTTCGTCTCGTACAGCGCTGTCACAAACCCGATCGCAAAGGTACGCCAATTTCAAAATTTCTCAGTTCTGATTTTGATGTTAATTTTGGATCCGGAGATTTGGATTTCTGAAATTGTTGTGATTTTGATTGGTTCTCAGAATTCACCAAAGTTGCTGTGCGTACGGCGATTGGATTTGTGGTGATGGGATTTGTTGGCTTCTTTGTGAAGCTCGTATTCATCCCAATCAACAACATCATCGTTGGTTCTGCTTAGTGTACTTTCTTTACGAGGTAATTGCTTTGAAGAGATCATTGACTAGACCACATTCTTGTTTCATTGCTCAAGGATTTGTAATCATATTGGTGGATAGAAGTTGATGTTATAGATTTAGGATGAATTTCAGCTAGTTTTTGGCTTATTCTGATTGCCTCAATAGTTTAGTGCTTTGCTCTGTTTCCATTGTTTCTGCTATCTGATTGTCCCATGAGTTTTGTTTGTTCTGAATCCTTTTCTCTGGATCTTATTCTCTGTGGTATCATGGAGTCTCTGATTCCTCTTGCTTAGTCATATTTGGGCAAAACATTTTGGGTGGTTTCATGCAAGAAATCCTGAGATAAACACTCATTTGTGAAAGTTTCTGAACTCTGAATCGCCCTACAGGTAATGCGCCGAGGAGTAGGAGAAGAAGAACTCGACATTATATCAGTCTTTGGGGAAGCTCCTTTGCTTTGCTATGTTTTTGTAGCCAAATTCTCTGTTCTTTATTCGTTTTTCGCCTATATATTTTACTCTCTTATTCCTTATAGACTCTATATATTTTCATCATTTTTTTTTAATGTATACAAATTATATTGTTTATCAAGAAGCACCCTTAAAATCTAAAATCTCAAATGGAAAACTCAAATCATCATAACTATGTTTCTACCCCAATTCTTCAAACCAACTTGCATCTTATGTTTTTTTTTGCTAAAAACTTGCAGCTTATGTTCAGAACTCACAATCAAGATATCCACTTGTATGTATCCATTCATTCTCTTAACCAAAAAAAAAAAAAAAGATAAATTTGATATATTTGTCAGCCACAAATTCTACATTTAGGTTTTAGCATATGGATGGCTCTTTTTTTTTTTTTTTTTGTCATACATATTGATGGCTCTTTTAATATCAAAACCAAAGGGCATTTTCGTAATTACAACACAAAACCCTTAACTTCGAGTCTCATTTTTTAAACGATTCAGGTTCACACGAAGTCTCTCTTCTCTCTCTCTCTCTCTTTCGCTTCTCTTCTCCTGAAACATCAACCATGGCGGCGGCAACATCTTCTTCGATCTCCTTCTCCACCAAACCTTCCTCCTCCAAATCTCCATTACCAATCTCCAGATTCTCCCTCCCATTCTCCCTAAACCCCAACAAATCATCCTCCTCCTCTTCCTCCCGCCGCCGCGGTATCAAATCCAGCTCTCTCTCCATCTACGCCGTTCTCAACACAACCAACAATGTCACAACCACTCCCTCTCCAACAAAACCTACCAAAACCGAAAAATTCATCTCCCGATTTGCTCCAGATCAACCACGCAAAGGCGCTGATATCCTCGTCGAAGCTTTAGAACGTCAAGGCGTAGAAACCGTCTTCGCTTACCCTGGAGGTGCATCAATGGAGATTCACCAAGCCCTAACTCGCTCCTCCTCAATCCGTAACGTCCTTCCTCGTCACGAACAAGGAGGTGTTTTCGCCGCCGAAGGATACGCTCGATCCTCAGGTAAACCAGGTATCTGTATAGCCACTTCAGGTCCCGGAGCTACAAATCTCGTTAGCGGATTAGCCGATGCCTTGTTAGATAGTGTTCCTCTTGTAGCAATCACAGGTCAAGTCCCTCGTAGGATGATTGGTACTGATGCGTTTCAAGAAACTCCGATTGTTGAGGTTACGCGTTCGATTACGAAGCATAACTATCTTGTGATGGATGTTGAAGATATTCCTAGGATTATTGAGGAAGCTTTCTTTTTAGCTACTTCTGGTAGACCTGGACCTGTTTTGGTTGATGTTCCTAAAGATATTCAACAACAGCTTGCGATTCCTAATTGGGAACAGGCTATGAGATTACCTGGTTATATGTCTAGGATGCCTAAACCTCCGGAAGATTCTCATTTGGAGCAGATTGTTAGGTTGATTTCGGAGTCTAAGAAGCCTGTGTTGTATGTTGGTGGTGGTTGTTTGAATTCCAGCGACGAATTGGGTAGGTTTGTTGAACTTACGGGGATTCCTGTTGCGAGTACGTTGATGGGGCTGGGTTCTTATCCTTGTGATGATGAGTTGTCGTTGCATATGCTTGGAATGCATGGGACGGTGTATGCGAATTACGCTGTGGAGCATAGTGATTTGTTGTTGGCGTTTGGGGTGAGGTTTGATGATCGTGTTACGGGTAAGCTTGAGGCTTTTGCTAGTAGGGCCAAGATTGTTCATATTGATATTGACTCGGCTGAGATTGGGAAGAATAAGACTCCTCATGTGTCTGTGTGTGGAGATGTTAAGCTGGCTTTGCAAGGGATGAACAAGGTTCTTGAGAACCGAGCAGAGGAGCTTAAGCTTGATTTTGGAGTTTGGAGGAATGAGTTGAACGTACAGAAGCAAAAGTTTCCGTTGAGCTTCAAGACGTTTGGGGAAGCAATTCCTCCACAGTATGCGATTCAGCTCCTTGATGAGTTGACTGATGGAAAAGCCATTATAAGCACCGGTGTCGGGCAACATCAAATGTGGGCGGCGCAGTTTTACAAGTACAAGAAACCAAGGCAGTGGCTATCATCAGGAGGCCTTGGAGCTATGGGTTTTGGACTTCCTGCTGCGATTGGAGCGTCCGTCGCCAACCCTGATGCGATTGTTGTGGATATTGACGGAGATGGAAGCTTCATAATGAATGTGCAAGAGCTGGCCACAATCCGTGTAGAGCAACTTCCAGTGAAGATACTTTTATTAAACAACCAGCATCTTGGCATGGTTATGCAATGGGAAGATCGGTTCTACAAAGCTAACCGAGCTCACACATATCTCGGGGACCCGGCACAGGAGGACGAGATATTCCCGAACATGCTGCAGTTTGCATCAGCTTGCGGGATTCCAGCGGCGAGGGTGACAAAGAAAGCAGATCTCCGAGAAGCTATTCAGACAATGCTGGATACACCAGGACCATACTTGTTGGATGTTATTTGTCCGCACCAAGAACATGTGTTGCCGATGATCCCGAGTGGTGGCACTTTCAACGATGTCATAACGGAAGGAGATGGCCGGACTAAATACTGAGAGATGAAACCGGTGATTATCAGAACCTTTCTTGGTATTGTATGCATATGGTAAAAACTTAGTTTGCAATTTCCAGTTTGTTTTGGTAATTTGAGTTTCTTAGTTGTTGAACTGCTTTTTGGTTTACCTCAGACTCTACTACTGCTGTTGTTGTTTGGTTTCCTATATATAAATAATCCGGTTCGGTTTACCTGTTGTGAATGCCTCGGTTTGGTTATTGCGAAATGCGAATGGAGAATTGAGTAATTGAATTTCATTCTCAGAATTCTAAGCTCTTTTAGCACTCACTGGGTCCACGAGGTCACTCATCGATAAAGTGTCCACATTTTGAGTTTTTATACGATGAAATAGGGTTAATGTAAAATCCAGATTGATATGCGTTTGGTTCATTTTTTTTACAGAATTTATAGTAAATAGCCATGGATTCAAAAAGAATTAAGAAAATAGACATGAGCTACAGTACTTTGTCTATTGGATGTCGGAAAGCACGTGTAATTACACACATACCCTTTATAACATGTTTTTTTCTCGAATTACATGTGATAGAATAATATATCTCTTTTTATCATATTATTTTCCGGTATTACACGTTATTTATAAAGAACACATGATATTTTTTGAAAAAACACTATATTCAGTTTAATATCTTTCTCTATCATGTTATTTTATAGTAATACACGTTTTTTATTATGATCACATGTGATTTTCTTTTAAAAAAGATTCTTATTTTCTAGTAATTCACGGTTTTTATTAAGATCACATATTATTTCTTTGAAAAAACACTCTATTCAGTTTAATATATTTCGCTATCATGTTATTTTGTAGTAATACACGTTTTTTATTATGATCACATGTAATTTCTTTAAAAAACGATTCTTATTTTCTAGTAATTCACGGTTTTTATTAAGATCACATGTTATTTCTTTATAAAAAGATTCTATTCAAGTTTAATTTTTCCGTAACAATGTTTTTTAAAAAAAAAACACTACGTAACAATATTTTTTCTTAAAAATTCACTACGTTTTTTTAAATAGCATGTATTTTAGTTAAATATAACATGTGAAATTTAGATCTTACGTGCTATTTTGAAAAATATCACGAGACAATGTCGCCTACTGTAGATCTCAAAACAAACGGAGGATGGTTTTGTTATTTCACCTCTTCAGACAAGGTGGGTCCATGCTGTTTTCCAACAGAATTTTCTCTCTCTGCTAGTTTCTTAATTTATGTGTCAAATTTGGCTAGTTAGTAATATTACCCTTTTTTTTAAGTTAGTGTTTAGTTTTGTAAACATTTTTCAGATTTAGAACAAGTAAATCCAAAAATTTTTTTAAAAAAATCTCTTATAACATTGGCTAAAAAGAAAGAAGCTATAAACATAGAGAACTCTTATAAATTGAAGTATGAAAATATACTGAATTAGGTATTATATGGATTTTCTTATTTAGGATTCACATGATCCAAAAAGGAAATCCAGAAGCACTAATCAGACATTGGAAGTAGGAATATTTTCCAAAAGATTTTTTATTTTTTTTTGTAAGTGACAAATGCTTTTAATAAACAGAAAAGAAATTAGTATTAAAGTTGTAATTTAATAAACAAAAAGAAATATTTTCATTTCTTTTTCAAGCATGAGGTTATGATGGCAAGATGTGGATTTCATTTTCCCCCTTTTGTAGCCTTTTAATTGATCTATTATAATTGACGAAATTTTATTAGTTTATTATAGATATTTTAGTTAGCAATTGTTTGACAAAAAAAAAAGTTAGCAATTAACACTTTCAAAAGACTATGTAACACCTTTTTGGTGATCAATAATGCGTCCCATTCATATATCTTAATGCGTTGATGCTCTCTTCATTCACTGGTTAGTCAACTAATAAATATTTTTGTTTAATTACATTTGAAAATTAAAATTTATAGTAACACTCATTGTTTTAGATTAAGTGTCCTTTTTAAAAAAATTCCCGCACGCCAAAATTATTTAATATATACTGTATAATTTTTAGTACAAAATCATTTCCAAGCAATATCTATGAAATGACTTCTGTGCTAATAATTAAAAATTATAATTTAGTTTAAAACGACAATTTATTTGAAACGAGAATAAAAAAATTAAAAATACTTCTTTTTAGTGACAGGAGCATGATTTTTTTTTTCAGACTATGAATTTTTCTTTTCTTTAAATCCGCTATATTGTAAAATAAAATTAGGTTTATTTCTCATCTACGAATTTCTTTGATATTTTAAAGATGAGTTACACAAAACTAATAACGATCGAGATTTTATCGAAAACTGAAATAATTTAGTAGATGGTGTTTTATCATTTATGTGCATGTTAGAAATTTCTAGTGACGATGATGGTGTAATAGAATAATAAAGAACATATACCTGATCAGTAGTTACTAATATTTGGGTCTATATGGAAACTGAAATTAATTTAGTTATAATGAACAAAGTACAAACTGCATAAAGCTAATTTTAATCGAAACTACATACTCATAATCTATAGGTTCTATACGAAGAAACTGAATGCAGTTGATAAAGAAGAGTAGATCCAAAAT